AGTTCATGCCCGAGGCCTATAAGGAAGTTTAACAGAAGGGCTGCCGGATATAGGAAATCGTGAGAGAAAGAGATAGAAATATTATGCCCTTTAGGACTTAACGAGACTCACTTTTTTTTTTTTCTATTTTTTTCTATTTTTTTTTCTTATATTTTGTCTTTTTTCCTAATCTCGTTTAATGATCAACGAGACTTATAACCGCTCTTCGTGATGGTTTACTGTTGGAAAAGGGTAACGTGGGCGTACCGCAATCGATTAAATTCTCTCCTTTTATAGTATCTCTCTTTCTCTCTCTCTCTCTCTCTCGATAGAATACGATTGTATGTGGTTAATATACAGGGTGAACTATTTCGATCGAAACAATGCACAATTAATTTTACGACAAATTTATTTTACGCGTTACGAATGAATTATTTGACTTTTGTTGTTGTAAATTTAAAACAGATTTATCCCGTGTATACGAAAAGAAAAAAAAAAAAAGAATTACCATTAATTTTCTCATATCGATGAATTGGAAATATTTATAGATTCAATATATTGTCGATAAAGAAAATCAAAAAAATTAAATAAGTAAGTGTGTGTGTGTGTGAATAAGTAAACGTATGATTTTCTTTTTAAACAATATAGAAATGTTTAATTGTATCAATTTAAATGTCCCACCTTATATAAACGATGTTTCTCTTTCTAACACAGATCATCCCAGTACGATCTCCAATCTCTCACTTTTCACCGAAATGGACCATCGAGTCCATGGTAGAGTATCTCGGGGTTGTTCTGTACGGTTAAAATCAATGGGTGTAGAGCAATCAATTATCTCTAATTGAAATTAGCCAGAACGACATGCGTGTCTGGTATTCGGATGCCTAGTTGGTTGGGAGAGCACATTTCATTGTCGACTATACCGATCGGCTACGTTACTAGATTTTCCAGGATAAAGACAATTGCGAAATCGATTAGTATCAATTCGAATGTTCCTGTCTATCATTTTCATAAAACAGGGGGAACTGAGGGGAGGGAAGAGGAAGGGAAAGGGGAAGGTGGGATGTGGACGAGTAATCTTTTTTTCAATTACAATTATAGTTAAAATTAATAATAAAATATTTGATATAAAAGGTAATCAACGTACAAGGTATATATAGAAATATTGTAATTAAATAAAAACTTCTTTTTTTTTTTTTTAGTTTTGTTTAATTAAAAATTTTTTTTTTTCCTCTCGTGCCCATCCAAATATAATAATGGGGTTTCTTAGAATTTCTCATTAAATGAGATCAGGTTAGACGTACGTAGACGTTTCGGGATCGTATTACCGTGAGAACACACGACTTGGACTTGAAAATACATTTAGGTAGAAATGTATATACTCTACCACTAATACAGATACGTACGTACGTACGTACAATGCATATATACATAGGATGAAACATGAACAGCTGCACACTGGGATTAACTCGCACTCAATCGCAATAATACTGGCTGCCTGCTTGCTTGCCTGCTTGGGTACTGTGCCATTGCTCGAGGGTTCAAGGGAAACGAATTAAGGGAAAAGGGTTAGACACTGGTCAGCGTTCTGGACCAGTTAGAGTAGCGAGTTCTATTGGTATCCACGTCAATGAATACCTATGGCTAATGTTTTCCTAGCGTATGGCTAAATTCCGCATATGTGGCATATGGTACATTGTGCAAATATGCATATTCACGTTTATGTATGCCTATTTCCAAGAGAACAGTTGTCTTTGAAAGCACCTACAAGTTTAATGTTTGGATTAACTCCCACAGTTTTTATCCAACGTTCATATATGCATATGTATATGTATGTATTTTTAAAGTGAAACTTTTTTTTTTTGAAAGGGTACTAACAAGTGAAACGTTATGAGGGGAGTGTTTTATTTGAGTGGTGGGAGAGAAATGGGGAAATATCGATTGGAAAAATTTTCGAGAAAATAGCAGGGAAGATATGAGACATCCACTGATGGTCTGATTATATATATAAATATTATAATATATAGAAAAATTTATATCTATAAAAATAGAAAAATGTACATAAGTAGAAAAAATATAGCTCTTTCGGTGAATTAATTTTATGTATTTTTATTTGGTAAATAATTGTTTTATAACGCGTATATTTATATTTTATTTTTACGAGTAGTAATAATCCATATGATCGAATATATATAATGAGAGAGAGAGAGAGAGAGAGAAGAAAATGAAGGGGAAGGTCCAAAAAACGAGGCAAACATTTTCAAGTACACATAGAAAAACATATCCGAACGATCGATAAAGGTGAAAGTGTGGGTAATGGTTACAATCATAAATACAAATCTTATTTTTATTTTAAACATCGTTGAGGTAAGACGTTACTTGTGTTCGTTCTCCGTGTAACAATTTATTCCTGCATAATTAGATAATTATTTGAATAGATAATTTGATATCTAATTAAATTTCATTTAATTTACAGGTATATGCAGTCATTCTCTTAAATAAATGTTTTTTTTTGTTATAAATAATTTTAGAAATTTTATTTATTTCCAAATGGATCTCCGACGCAGCAACCTCCCCGTGGTGAGATCCGGTAACTGATATTGCTTACGATGTCCATAAAATTTGTATGGTGCAACGTAAGCACTGTCGGGCTAATGGCTGACGTTTGATGCATTAGAAAATTGTAATTTCTCGTTTTGTTAATTAATTCTAATGCAAATATCATCACATATGATTTAGTGAATTAATTTTTTTAATTACGCGTTGCAATTGTTGATTAAATTTTAATTCATTTAAATTCATGTAAATCGTTATACTTGTGTAGAAATACTTTTTTTTTTGTTTTTTAAATAATTTTACTTTTCGAGTACAGTGAAAAAATAAATGTGCAGAGAGAAAAGGGGAAATAATTAATAATTTAAATAATTCAATAAAATGTTAACAAAATAGTTTGTGAATTTCTTTTTGTTTTTCTTTTTTTCGTTTAACACGTACGTTTTTACAAACGCAAGTTCCATTTTTTCTTTTTACGAATATATAACATAACTTTATGTTAAAATATTTCAAATAGAAATTCTATATGCAGTATTATAAATTAGATATTGTACAAAGTTCCTAGTATTCTCTATCACTGTAACTATATTTCAAATAGAAATTACTATGTTGTATATATATATACTTGCATATAACCTTCGTCTATGGATTTGACGAGATGAAAGAGAGTGGAGTTCGAATTTGTAATAGGAAGGTAAACTTGAACTAGTTACAGTCGGACACTAGTCATATGTAAATTAGGAATCACGAATTCATTGATATGCATTATTATATTTGTAGATACAGAACATTGTTGACATCAATTGAGAATACGATATTAAATATTCAGACTGATTGTAAGATAAAAGTTACTTTTTCCCGAATATAGGAAAGATAAAATTTAAATCAATTATAGAATAAATTTAAATAAGATTAGAATGAATAAATTTAAATAAGATTAGAATGAATAAATAATTTT